ATGCTGAATGATAAACACCTGGAACAAACAGGGTGTTCCAAAAACAATGCTATTAAAACAAGAAGCGCTTTCGTTAAGGTTTGTTGATTATTTGTTATTTTATTGGGCTTAAGTATGAAAAACCATAATTAGTTACTGTTGAGCTGATACTTTGGAACTACATACATTATCTTTCTTTCATAATTACTTAAAGGAGCCTTTTCAGGAAGAGTTTGTTTTCGATTCGCTTAAAATCGTTGCTACAAGTGACCATATTCTAGCTTCCCATTGCTCGCATGATTCTTTAACTAATGTTCCTGCCAATGCTGACTGTCAGGTGACATTTTTTTTCTTTCGTTCTTACCTGTCTGACATTTTCTTATTAAGATGGTGCACAAGTAACATCTCTTTAACAACTCGAATTATCATCTTTCACAACTTTCGAATCAAGTTTGCTCAAAGTGATTCTACTATTAGAAGTAAAAGAAAACAGGGGTTTTTTTTGTTTCTGGCAGCAGAATGGTGGACTGAACAAGCCACACTCAGTTCCAGTCAAACAGATATTTATTTTACCTATCTGCTATCATGTTAACTGTTATCTTCCCCTATAGTTTTTTAATAGTTCCAACTTTTTTCAGTTTTTATTCTTATCTCTTAGCAGAGGGAGGCCTCTTCCTTCCCAAGTGCTTCTGAAGAAGGGGAGGTATTGTTTGGCGTGCGGACATCGTCTGTCCCACTTCATTTCGTTGTACTTTCCTAGAGGGTTACAGGGGATGCCTTAATGCACTGTCGTGAGAGGATCATCGAAAATTTTCACTTTTCGTCTTTAGCGTAACATGTATATTTCTTTCCCCAAATGTTTGGTAAAAAAGTGTCTCTGCAAACTTTGTCGGACGGGAGCAGCACTTCACAGTAGAATGAAAAGGAGAACTGTAAGCCGGAGAAGAGAATCTTCCAAGGCTAAAGGAGTTTGGAATACTAATTCCGAAAAGGATGAGATTTTCATAGCCGTTAAATGAAAGTTATTTTTACTTTGCACCAACTTAAATTTTTGCTTTTGTTTTTCTCGCGTTAAGCAACCAATAATGGATAACACAGAAATTGGTTTTCTTTTTCAAGTTGTTGTTTAGGCATGGTAATTATGAGAATGATTGGTTTAGTTTCACCAGATTACTGTTAAGCTAAGTTTCATAACTTTTTCTCACTATAGGTGTGTTATTATAACTCGAAACTGAGCTTACCACAGTTACCAGATATGGTCTATCCAAATAACTCTTTATCGGTGTCGTATACTGATGATGAGAATTATTGTTTATTTTTCAATGCATTAGATGCGTTGCAAATGGTTGATTCTAATAAACTGCCCGGGATCGAGGTTCTTCATTTCATACTTTCATTCCCAACTTTTATTGCGATTCAGTACTAATTTTTACAGTATTTTTCCAGCCTGAGTAAATCTATTATAATTTTTGTAATAGGTGGCTTCAAGTGCTGCGTGGCAGAAAGCGAGAGAATCATGCGGTTTGCTAAAGCAACCAGCACGACCTTTTGACTGGACGTTCACCACGGAATACGAGGGAACAGTGCGGGGATTTGAGGTTTGAAGGGCCCGATTCCAAATTTCTTTTGAACAGCATTCTCTTTAATTTCCCGGTTTATAAGAAAATTTTAAAGTGACGTTATTTGAATGCGTAGTAGGTTGAACCGACGGAGGAGCGAATCGACTTGGAGAGGTTGAAAAGCCGAGAACCGATTCATTTTTATTCTCAGATAGTGTTATATGAGGACGAACTGGCTGATCACGGCTGTTCTCAGGTAAGAAAGTAAAGCCGTACTCTGCAGGACTTCAAAAGATGAACGTTGAGTTGAAGATTATTTTGTATTACAGTTCCTAATGAAATTTTTTTGCAGAAGGGTAGTTGAAAAAAGTTGCCTTTATAGATGAGTGTTCGCGTACGAGTGATGCCTACATTCTTCTTCCTTCTTGCCCGTTTTTACTTAAGAGTAGATGGTGTGTTAGTTAGAATATGCGATACGCGAGTGTTTGGTGAACGTGGTTCTCGTTTTATTCTTAGAGAATGGACGGAAAGGGAGGCCAATTATGCAAGCTTAGGGGTACAGGTAAATGTTATCTATCACATTACAGTAAGAACTTTTGACTTGTACTGTTCCGACTGCAATTGTTGGTTTTAGGCTATTGAAAATATTCTTGATCCGAACACTGTTTGGCAGCATCTTCCAATTGTGAAATCACGGGCAACGAAACTATTTTTGCCGAGGTAGCGAGACTTCCGGCCTCAGAACCGAGCTTTATTGAAGTGATTTATAGAATTACTTACACTGTTTAAGATATTTGTTTTGAATATACTGGTTTGAAGGTCTCAACTATACTAAACCGTATTTGTTTTAACCCGTCCTTGATTTACTTTTATTACCTCATATTTCAGCCTTATTGTTGTTTAGGTGAGGATTTAAAAACATTTGAAAAGAGACTTTGATATTTAAGACGTCATACTTACACTTCGCTGGAAGTGGTGATCATTTTTCCAGGGTAGTCAATGCCTTTATGAATAGCCTTTAAGTTATATGCGCATATTTTATTTACAGTCTTTTTGTTGTTTACAGTCTTAAGGTAATATTTCTGTTCTCATTTGTAGAGAAACTATTCAGATCTATTCTGTCTACTCAACTTTCGCGCTTAGGACTGTTAGCCCTTTTATTTCTCTATTTTGATATACTGTCTTTCTGTGCTTTTTGTCTCATTTAAGATGGTAGAGTTTATTAGTTTTATTAGTGCTTTTCTGTTTTTGTGGTTTTTGCTACCGAAACAGATTATGGACTTCTAATATTCTCAGTTGTGGATATTTTGGCGTAGAGGACAGATGTCAAAGTTCTTGTTTCCAAATTGTTGTTTTAAAATCTTTCAATTCTGATTCCAGATAAAACTTTGTTATCTTTGTTTTTGCTTTGCCGCACATATAGCTCGATTTATAGAAAATTTATTTACCTTTTACTGTTGCTGATGGTTTTAATCTGATGATTTAGTTGTTAATTTGAATCGCATGGCCTTGTTTCGCATGTGATGCTTCGAAATGGTAGACGTGGTAACTCTGCCTTTGAAACTTGATGATTCAGAAAGTAGTTTTACTAGTTGCAGAAGGCTCGATAGTAGGGGTTTTGGTAAGTTTGCTTTCTTACAGAAAGCGGTGTTACTGTTTACTTAATTTACAGTTTGACTCTAGTACAGCGTTTTCCGGGGTATTTTTCTTCGTTCCGCGATTTTTCTCTAAGTGGAGGTAGCTCCTGAATTTTTTTTGATTTTCACTGTAGAGTTGAGTGATGTCTTTCAGTTTACTGCATGGGGGGATATGAGTTTGAATTCTATAAATTAGAAAGGTTTGGTGGGTAACATTTACAATTGGAGGCTACTCGCGAAGATGACGGTTGAAGTCTTGTGGATTTTTTAACTTTGTAAAGGGTATCAGTATTTTTGTTGGCAGTGGTTTCGCTGTTTTTTAATTTCTCGTTTTCTTTGTAGTAGCTTTTTTGGTTTTCTTGCCATTGTTTTAATATTTGTTCTGTAATGGAAGGAATTTCTGGAAGGGAACTGTCGTTTCTCGATAGCTTGTGGTGATGTGTATTGAAACAAGGACCGTTTTTCATCTTTTTTATCGTTGTTTCAACAGTTTGATGACCGATTCCTCTATTCTTTGAAGATTACCAGTATTTCTGTTCCTTTATATCGCTGATATATTGGGGAAAATGAAGGATTGTAAAGTCTGCCTAGTGTAAAAGATCTGAACACATTGCTCTATGGAAAATATGGTTTGTTGGTGTACAAAAGGGATTAAGCACGCATGGCGTACAATTATCGTTTAACGGACTTGACATTACACCACCAGTAATTTTAGTGGAATACAGTGTTACACTTGTGATTAGCTTCTATAAGATCATGTACTGTTATGAGGTTTGAAAGAATGTTAGGTTCTTCTTGGTCCTTGTATAAGCCTTTTGATAGAGAATATTTTTGTATTCTATTTGTATCTGTCTCGTTAATAAAATGTGCTATTTATGATAACGAATCGATAGTATATTTTATCTTCTTAGCAGATGAATGTGCAGCTAACCACTAGTCGCCTTGTGCTTTACCAATTGAGGGCATTCGCTAGTGCAGCACCGAAATGTACAACTGGCATTGAGCATGCGGAGGAATTGAAAAAAGCAAGTTCTAAGTCTTACTTTTTTCTATTGACAACAGATCGCTGGTTTTAGTTTTTAAAGTCTTTTGCATTTTTTGAATTTAACTCTAAGAAACACATATGTTGAGTGAGAAGGGGAGGGTTGTTAGAGCGGGCTACCTAAAGTTCGTCCCTGTTATTTTTTTTAGGTAAAATAGCTACTTCATGTTGTTTTCTTCAAGGTTTCAATTATTTTAACTTTATTTACACTTTCAGTCAGCAGTTTTTGCAGTAATTGACTATTTCAGCGAGGTATGAAAGATAAAGCTAATCCAAAGGATTACAAAGTTGCAGAGTATCTAAATTTTAATAGATGGTCTTTTTATGACAAAGAGGTTTGTTAATTCTTTTATCTGTGATACCTTTTTACGCAAGAATTATGCAACTGTGTTTTGATTTTATCCAAATTTAATTTCGTGAATGTTAACCAGAGGAACCGAAAGCAAAAGTTTTTATTTTTTGTTACACAAGTTTTGATTTTTCAGTTGGAGATGGGACCATCTCGGTACCCACAGCCGTCGAAATTCAAACCTGATACGCTCCCATCGATTTCGACGAAATTGTAGATTTTACTGTATAGGGATTTTACTGTCTTTTGTGTGCTCTGAATAGTAAATTATGCTTTTGTTGTCACTAGACAAGAATAAATACTGTAGTTTTGATTTCTGTGATTTATGTTTGGAACGTTGTTAACAGTGCTCTATTTGATATTTGAACTGAACTAAATCATATTGTCGAGGAATTAAATAGTGGTGTCTGAGTTTCCGAACGGTTCAGTTCGTAAAACATAAATTTGAGTTTTTAGGAACTGAAATTTGCTGAAAGTTATAATTAACTTTTTGCTTTCTTTTACGGTTTTTTTATAGACGTGTTGGGAGGTGGTTTTGCCATCTGGCTGCGTAGCATTGGTTTTCTGTGACGGGGTCGTTTTGACGTGCTTTCTTATCTCGAGGTTGTTGCGCTCAGCTCTTCGAATTTCACTCATAAAGAGCGGTGAAAATACTTGGTTCTGTTAAGTGACCTTTTTAGGCGTTTGGAGTTTGGTAGCTTGTTGGAATTCTATGATGAACATTAGACTAGGCCTTGAAGACGTAGCTTCTTGGAGTGATATCGGCAATGGAGAACTTCTGGTGAAGTTAAAGGGATTTATTGAGCAAAATGGAAAGGAGTCATTGTTTAGTGATATTGATGTTGCAACAAGAAAAGTATGTCCATGTTCTATGAAGGAGCTTTCCCTGTAACTCGTTTAAATTTTGTGAAAATGCTGAAGTCACTTCTTGAGTACTTCGATTCAGAGGCCTCCAATTTTTAGTCATAGAAACTTCATTTCCAGGGGGTCTGCTTCTGCCCTTGTAAAATTATTTTCTTAATTAGTATCTCTGCTCTGCCAATGTATTCACTCTGACTCTAAATATTTGTATCAATTTTGAAAGTGGTTTTTAGGCACTTGCTGAATTATTTCTAAGCCGTTTTAATGAAGGGTCCTCGCAGTTACGTTGCGCTATAATAAGTTTTATTCGTTTGGTGGCACGAGATAAAAACAATATTGAAGTGTTATTAAACAGTGAAACTTGCTTGGTACTTTTTAAAGCTGCGAGGCTCCTCGAGGACTCGTTTGCACCAGATAATGATTGTTAGCTTTACAATTTTCATTATTTCTGCTTTGGTTAATTGCTTGTCTAAGAATTACCGTTCAATTAAAGCAGTAAACTTTATATAATTGTATGAAGAACTTAATTTACATAGTTTTTAAACAGTTTTTCAGGATAATGTTTAGTCTATGGTAACATCAAAGATTAAATTTTTTAGTGTTAGTGGAGGCGCAAATGTGTTTAATTAATGGGCTTTTTCAATCGCCTCAAGCTAGAGAACTTTTTATGTGAGTTTTGTTAGCTGTTATTTTAATATATTTCGCATTGTTCTTGGTCGCTGTAAAAGAATTCTAAATTTTTATACCTCAATTCTTCACTTAGTTGCAATAAATCTCAAATTTTATTAAGGGAATCTTCCTGCCATTCAAGACTGATTAGGCGTATTCGGCTCTTCAGTGGTGAGGAAATAGCAGGGGACTGTGACTTTGAAACTGGTGATGCAGCTCTTCTTGTCAGCATGTTTGAACGCATTCAACTTTATGATCTTCGCATTGCTTTCATTACTACTGCACATTCTTTACAATTACAAGTGATTTTTTCCTAACCTTCGAATTTTTTTTAGTGAATAAGATTTTGTGTAGTAATGGCCAAGTTTCTATATTAGGGCTAATTTATAAGAGAGATATCAGTTGTTTTAAAAGTTAGCTTTTTAATTCCTTTTTAAGCTTTTCTTAAATGAACAATTTGGTTAAAAGTACTCCAATAAGATTTTATCTCTGTATTTGCTTTTTTTTTCTGAATTTAGGAAAGTTGGTTGCGAGAAGGCCACGAAAGGTGTTTTATTGGTATGATCGAGCGAATAATATCAAAAGACAATTATTTTAAGTTGCATCACGGAGATGGTCATGAAATGAGTAGGTTTTCTAGATCTCTGCTTGAATAGTCATGCGTTAGTCAGATCTGTTTTCTTTTAGAATTGCCGCGGCGGCACATTGAAGAATGCGTAAACGAAGCATTAACAATTCTCTTTAATCTCTATTCGCATGCGACGGATGATGTGGTATTCTTTACTAAATGTCTTATTGTACCGGATTTTTCAGTATTACAGTTAAGTTATGGTATTTTCAGGCTGACAAAACCAACTGTGCAAAGTGCTTGTGTTTTTGCGCAACGATTCTTCTTGATTTCAACAGCGAAAGTCGTGTGAAACAAGGAGCTTTAAACCTTATGACAGTTGTCCCTCACCCGCTTCGATTTCTTTTGGAAGAAGTAATTTAACTTACTGATGAAATGTTTAGTTTCCAATCTTTTCGGTAACTGCAAATTAAGAGGTTTTTTCAGATGATTTACTTACATTTCTTTTTTTAAGAGACAGGAGCATTCTAAGGGCGATAACCGTTTAAATATGCAGATTTTAGATGTTCTTCTTTCAGATTTGGATAAGTATCTGTCATCGGTAAGTCTTTTGAGTTCCTACCGCAATTGTCTTTGTAGCAAGTAAGAGAAGCCTGAGTGGGAAACAACTTCTTTTAAAGGTTTTCGTTGATTAGGGCCTAAAAAGAAGTTTAATTGTTGTCAGTTCTAAGTACCCGCAGAGGGATTTATTTTTCTTTTTCAGTATTTGGTAGTAGCCTAAATTTTCCCACAAGCGTTATAATTTTCTGTATATTTTTAGTAAATAATGTATTTAAGGCTGATTCAGATATCCAGTCATCACTATCTTCTTGTCTTACAGTATTAATCAACTTCTGTACGGAGTGTGCGGAAGCACGGCGGTATGTCCGCCTAAAGGTGTAACTGTGGTTTTGTTTGATATATCCTGTGCTTTGAAAGCAATTTTTACTCTCAAATTTATGACATTCTTGGATGCTAATTTTTGCATTTCAAGGTGATGCCGCCACTACATGCAGAAGATGTTCAGCAGCGGCCAGACGTTGGAGAGAAAGTGAGGAATAAGCTGATCAAAGTAATGATCGGTAAAATTCATATATCGCAACTGGCTGCTCATTTCTTGTTCATTCTTTGCAAAAGAAGCGGTAAGCAATTAAAATACTCCGTTCTTACTATTTAGAATCTTTCATTCTTTTTTTATTGCTTTTTTAGTCAGTCGTTTCAACAAATATTGTGGATTTGGTAACGCGGCGGGTCTTCTTGTGAATTATGGACTTCTTGGTGAGATTAACCGTCCTAAAAGTGTTGATGACAGTGAAGATTCTGAAACAGAGGATTATAAAGATGTTGAAGAGCGGTTAGATACTAACTTTGCTATTTATTGTTTCTTGAATAGGGCTAGGGTCTTTGAACACGTAAGCAGTTTAGTAGAGAGCTGATAATTAGATTTTTCTCCCGCTTTAATTAAAAGGGTTTGACGGGACCTAATGTTTAGCTATTTAGCGTTTAACTACCAACAATCGTGTCAGTTCATCAAAAACCTATTATTTTTCAAGCTTTATTATTTTAGTATTAATCCAGTGACTGGCTACATAGAACCTTTCAAAGAAAGCCCACTTGAGAAGATGACCGATGAACAGAAGGAGTACGAAGCAATGAAATTGGTTAATGCAATGAAGAACCTTATGGATCAAGGTGTCATATCCCCAGCTAAAACTGATGAAAGTGGGAAACTGCGACCGGTAGAGCACATTCTGGAACTCGTTGAAGGTCAGGCGAAAAACAAAACAGTAGTTGATTCCGAAAGTGACGACAATTGAAAAGAACATTGAGGAGATTTGGTTTGTCATGGTTGGAAAGGTTTTAAAAGTTTGAAAATTAAAGCCTGGGTTTTTAGCTGGCATGTATGTTAATCTGACGATAAGTGTAACAAATAGCTTAATTTTTTTCAAACAATTTTGTGTTAATTTGTTAATGAGGTCTAATAATTGAATTCCGAGAAGTTTTTTGCGCTCTGGAAATTTTTCATTTTACATGCCGAAATCTTTGTATGAGCGTGTTCTCTTAAAATATTTTGAATTTCCTTTGCATTGTATATTCAGTTTATTAGGGTGCAGAAGACCAATATTTATAGCTTAGGGTAGTATGTTAAATTTATGTGCGTTTCTTGTTGAGCAGTTCAGCTAGGTAGGTAGGTCGCTTTACGTGTAAATACTTCAATTTTTATTTTGCCATAAACGCTTTCGAGTCTCCGAAAACACTTTTTTTGAAAGTTGTCGGATGCTCCAAATCTGTCCCATTTGTTCATGTACTGTTCGCTTTGCCGTTGATCTCACTTTGCTTTTTTCTGATACTTCTTCAATATTATTTGTGTTTCTTCTACTCATGCATATTTTATGTATACCTATATATTTGACTGTCAGTTCCTTACAGTGCCATATTTGTTTGTCATTCAAAGTTTATTGAAGTTGTATTGCCACAAATTTGCATATAAATTACATGTTTTATTCAAACATTTCATAGTTCATTTAATTCGAGAAGTTTAGGAAGATTTCTGTAGTAGAAAAGGTGAGCAATTGCATCAGTGAAGGTCAATTTGGTTGAAGACGGCAAACTCTTCGGCAGCTTAGATCGCGTGAAGGAGCTTTTCGCCATATTATTACAGTGTCGTCTACAATTTTATTCATGCAGAAACTGCTTTGAGGTAACTTAAAGCTGCTGAACAGTTCGCTGTACTTGGAGGAATGCAGAAAAAAAATACAAACGAAAAAATGATGAAACGATATGAGAATGAATAAAGACCGAGATTACAGATAAAATGAAAAAAAAAAATCTGTACAGATGCGTAGACTAGTAGGCACACCAGAACAACAATCATGGCGAACTCCTAACGGTGATGAGGAACAAGGTTAGTTTAAGCTAAAATTGCTTTTCGTGACAAGTGTCATTGGTCTACTTGGCGGACTGGACACCTTGGTTGGGTCTCGAGCAAAAGAGTTTGATGAAGTTGCTCCAATTTACGTTGTAAAAAAAAAAGAAACGGAGGATAGGAAATAGAAATGATTACCCCAACTTCCAATTCACTGATTTCACGAGCACTACAAATGTTGAATAAGTTTAATATTGTCATCAGATTATCTTAGCCACTCTACTGGTTTTCCGAATGACAGAAAAGCGAAACAGGGACGAGAGCAAAACCTAACAACCATAAGAGAAACGAACGCTTGTTCACTGTTAGAACAATTGAACATTCGTGTCACAACCATAAAGTGGAAGGAAATTTGTTTAATAACTGTTTTTGAAAGGGAAATCGATCAGGCTATGGCACTGCTACTGTAAAAACCCAGACGTTGAGCTCACTTCTTGTGGTGAATGCAGTATTGCTTCAATTACAAAACAAAGCAGCCACAGTCGGGTTTGTCCAAGTGGACCCATAAACTAGAATAGGCACTTTTGTTGGGGAAAAAATATCTCCAAAAAAATAAAAGCTCCTGAATTTAAACATTTCAAGTTCACTTAACAAAATAAGGCTTTGTTCCTCAAATAGGTTTTGACCTTTATACAGCTAATCAGTACCGCTTAGGAGCTTGGAAAGAAAAGGGGAACAAACAAAATTTGACATTTTAAACAGACGAATCTTTAAGTTCATGATTAATATTGTTAACAAAAGTCGCAACTCCGCTGACTCGATTTGACCCGACATTTGGTGCTACTTCACGGTATAACACCAAATCTATCTTATCCACGTTTAGTAATGGTACCGCAATATCACAGTCCAAATACTCAAGTGATGTGTCGTTTACCTGCAGAAAAGTACCGACGTGCATATTTTAGAATTCGATCAAGAAAAGCATGAAAAAAAAACATTCTCCTCACTTGTAATATCCTGTCGAGCGGGAACATATTTCCTGACTTATCTGCAGGCCCACCAGGCATAATTGTGTTTATATATACGCCAGCATTTTCACCTACTCCGTCAGAGATGCTAAACCCAAAGCTGTCAGTACCTGGATCCTAAAATTAAAAGATTAGTTAATGCTAAACGTGAAACAGTGGGTAAATTTTTGAAAAGTAAAGTTCAGAAGCATTATGAAGTACTTTATGAAGAGTCACACGATGTGTTGTGCCCCTGGTTACCACTTTTGGGCTGGATGCTTGAACTTTCGGACAGAGCTCGTGAAGCACTAGCGAAGTAACAGGGATGCTTTGATCAGATCCTCTTAGCTAAAAAAATTGTAGGTGTATGGTGCAAAGCTGTAAGACGCTTTTAACAGATTGATCATTCAGAGGAAGCTGTATTTGTTGGATACCTGACTAGGAGGTACTGGAGAAGTGATGTACGGAATAGTCATATCAGAATCGAAATTACGTTTGTAAGGATCTAGCATGCTTGTTGACTCTCTCGTTTCATAACGAGGTGGTTTTGGAGGTGGCATTGACGGCGGTACATTACTACCAAATGAACCAGACTCATTTGAATTTGTGCTAAGAGCTTCAGCTTTCTCAGATGACAAAACATCGCGCACTAAACTGTTGGCATTACAGGAGGATTAAAGTGAAAATCACAATTAAATTATCTTAAGGACCTTTTACAGACTTCAAACTTCTCTCTTACTTCTTTCCTTCCTCCTCACTAAGCTTTTATGGCTCCAAAATAAGTGATCTTTAAAGTGAGAAACAAAACTGTTTAAAAGCAAGAAAGTATGATTACTTTGTGTCAAAGGATGGGGCACTGGGCTTGGCGTAAACTTAGTAGCCGGTTGTCTTAATATTGTATTGGCTGCACTTGGTGCGAAAGGGTGCCACTGCTGACGACCGCCGAGGGGTGGAGACAGCAGAGTAGAGGCTGAATGCGCGTTACTAGTGCCAGGTTGACTGAAAATACTTAGAATCAATGATCTCTATAGGTCCTTTTAAATGCTGAAAATCTTTAAAAAAGAGATTCTGATTTTTAAAGATTAAAAAAAGTGAAATCCCAGTTGGTATTTTCAAACCAGTTAGGGCTATGGTTGTGCTTACACATCGGCACGTTACCACCCATAATACTGTCTTCGAGTTTTTGAAGCATTTCCGCTTCTCCAACTGTTTCCAACGCCTCCAGTATTTTGACCCTTGAAAAGGAAATTTCAAATATCGTGAAACAGATTAAGAAATTGCAGTTCTAAAGATTGTTCAATTATATACCAATCTTCATTGTCGCTCGTAGAGGCCTTCTGACATAAACAACATTCCGCAGCATTATTGTCTGTAGTTGAGCTTAAACCACTGTCCCAGCCAAATGTCTCCGGTTGTTGTAAACCTGTGAAGGAAGTAAACATTGGATGAAATCTTC